GCATTTTAGAGAGTTACTTAACTGAGACTGGGGGCTAAGGACGGCTCTCTGGGGGAGTTGACTTCAGTTGCAACCTAAAGGTTGAGTAGAGGCTATGAGAACAGTGTGCTGCCGGGGATTTACCTTAGTGATTTCTCCACCTGCTGCGCAAGCACAAGGACCTGAGTTCAATCCCTGGTACCAAAAAAAAAAAAAAAAAAAAAGAACTGGTGAGAACAGTGTTCTATTCTAGTTCAGGTATGTGCAAAGGCCTTAAGGGGAGAAATCTTCCCCTTGGGGAATTGCAAATGAAACCACGCTTGGCACTTTGGTACAGTACAGGAGATAAATTCAGCCCCTTGAACTTGTTTTGTTTAACCCACAAAGTATTTTTAAGAACTTTATTGTGATGGTCAACCTTTGAAAAAATGAAATTTGGCCCAAAAGAATTTTGTAGTTGAGTCCAAACTCCTTCATGGTACTAATCAGCTAGAGCTGTGTAAAGCCTGTCATCTGCTTACCAGTTTATTTTGTTTGGTTATTTGTTTTTGTTTTGTTTTGTTTTGTTTTTTGGTATGGGGATCAAACCTGGGACCTTGCGGGACCTTGCACTTGCCCTTGCACTTGCGAGGCAGACAGGCGGGGAACCACTGAGCTAAGTCCCCGGCCCCGTGGTTTATTTGTTTTGACACCAAATTAGCTAAACTGCCCAGCCCTTAGAACTGCTTTGAATTTGGTGTTTCCTCTGCTAGAGCATAAAATTTTTTTTTTTTTTTTTTTGGTACCGGGGATTGAACTCTGGACCTTGTGCTTGCGAGGTAGGCGGCAGAACCACTGAGCTAAATCCCCGGCCCCATAGAGCATAAAATATTTAGGGGGATTCTTGAGAGGTGAGCAGAGAACAGATTATTCTAATTTTCTGAGCCAGGTTAAAAAGTTCCATCCTGATAGGAGGAGTGAAGCCTTTGGTTTTAGAGGAGAGTGATGTGATTCAACTTGCATTTTAGACCAATCACTCTGCCTGAGAATATATTCCCACTGGTTAAATGAGGGCTGGAGATTGCTGCTATAATCCAGGCCAAAAAGGTGGTAAGTGGGGCTTGGTTGCACATGCATGCAAACCCAGCTTTCTGGGAGGCTGAGGCGGGAGTATTGCTATGAGTTCAAAGCGAACCTGGCCTATGTGGTAAGTTTAAGAACAGCACATAATGAGACCCTGTCTCAAAAAACAAAAGAAAACGGTGGTGGTCTGGGCATAGAGGTGGATAGAGTTGGCAGATTGGCAGTTTCAAGAGAAGTCTAATGCAGTGGATGAGGGGAGAGAGAAATCAAAGACGATATTCTGGCTTGTTTTGAGCAGCTAGGTGGAAGGCAGTGAGAATAGGAAACTGAGAAAGGAGCACAGAAGAAATAGTATAGAGCATGCAGGCAAGGTTATGAAGGTTTTGGGGTGGGGTGTAGCTCAGTGGTAGAGCACATGCTTAGCATGTACAAGGCCTTGGGTTCAATCCTTGCACACTCTTCCCCAAAGAAATGAATAAAAGACCTGGGCATGGCTGTACACACCTGTCTATAATCCTAGCACTTGAGGGGCTGAGGCAGGAGAAATGTTGTGAGTTCAAGGTCAGCCTGAACTATATTGTGGGACCTTGTCTCCAAAAATAATTTTCTAACTAAAAATCTATTAACTGGAGGTAGTGGGGGACACTTGTAATCCCAGCACTTGGGCAGCTGAGACAGGATTATGGTGAGTTTGAGGCCAGCCTGGGCTCCATGGTGAGTTCAAAGCCAGCCTGAACTGCATGGTGAGATTCTGTCTCCAACACAATAAAATAACTTTTTTTTTTTTTGTACTGGGGATCAAACTCGGGACCTTGTGCTTGCGAGGCAGGTGGCGGAACCACTGAGCTAAATCCCCAGCCCTAACAACAAACTAACTATTAAGATTATGGTGGTAGGGCCGGGGATTTAGCTCAGTGGTTTCGCTGCCTGCTGCGCAAGAGCAAGGACCCAAGTTCAAGCCCCGGTACCAAAAAAAAAAAAGATTATGGAGGTATAATGAGAAGGGCTAGCAATGGTTTGAAATGAGAAAGCAAAAAAGACAGAATTTAAAATGACATTTAGGTTTCATTAATAGAAATAGCAAAAGAAAAGTTCTCTGTTAAGTTAAATTTGAGGGCTTCTAGCCTCTCTACAAATTGTTGTGTCCAGTTGAATTTAAAGCCTCTAAGAGCACAGTTTGGTGACATATGGCTATAATCCCAGCACTCCAGAGGCTGAAGGAGTAGGATCACTTGTAAGTTCAAGGCTGGCCTGATCTACTTGGCAAGACCCAGTCTCAAAAAACAACAAGCAAGGGCTGGGGATTTAGTTCAGTGGTTCTGCTGCCTGCCTTGAAAGCACAAGGACCCAAGTTGGATCCCCGATACCAAAAACAAGCAAGAAAAAAACAGTGGCCTCTAGTATTCCTGAGGAGTTGATGGGTAGAACAGAGACTAAGATTCTCTTCTATCTAGAAGCAAGAAGTAAATCATGGCATGGATAATAGTGCTAAGATGGTAAAGAATAACTCACTCAGTATGGTGGAAACAACTTGGTATTTAAGGGCAAGCATTGCTTCTTTCACTGTGGTTATTTTTAATAAGATAGTATCTGTTTTTCAGTCCCCCCCCCCCCTTGGTGGTACTAAGAATTGAACCCAGGGAATACTGGGCTACATCTCTGGCCCTTTTTATTTTTTCATTTTGAGATAAGGCCTCACTAAATTTCCCAGGCTACTTAACCATGCAACTTTATGTATTATGTGCATGTGTCAGTACTGTAGTTGCCTAGACCACCACTCATATTGAAATACTCACTGCAAGGGTGCAGGGGACTTGGCATATGGTTATATTCACAGCTAATGTAGTAAAGATACACAGCTATGTTATGTAGTAGTTGTACTGATGGCTAACTTAATAAGGATACATAGGCAGATCATGAGGGGCAAAGATACAGACTGGAATGGGAGGAATCCATGTGTAGACTTCTTAAGCTCTGTCCCTCCCACAAAAGGTACACAAAACAACAAAAATGACACAACATATGCATGGTGTTTCTGCCCAGGGAAGCCCAATACAGACTTCGTGCCTAAGGTTTTTATTAGGAGCTAGTCATAGGGGCAACTTCTGCCTAGCACATACCAAAATCCAGACCCCCCCCAAAGGAAAGTAAGTGTTGGACATAAAGCACATTATGTATACATTTTGGCAGAGTAACAATGAGAAACACCTGAAGCACAGGTTTCTGAATCCCAGCCAAAGCCCAACCTTACAAGCAGGCCTAAGGATAGTGGTCTTCAGTCTGTATGTTAATACTTTTCTGTACTGCAGATGTATGTGGAGGAGTGAAGTAAAAGGCTAAAGAGAGAAAGAAGATGAACAGTAAATCCTTTATATAATATAATATAATATATATATATGGTAATATGTAGAAAATGAAAGATTACTGGAAAAAAAAGATTATTGGAAATACTGAAAAAAAAATTTCCCAGGCTATTTTCAAATTTGTGATCTTTCTGTCTCAGTCTCTTAAGTAGCTGGGAATACAGGCATGTGCCACTGTGGCTGGCTGTCTTTTAGTGTTATATTCTTCATTAAATTAGCTGAGAACTTAAATGAGAGTCAGTTAGTAGCTGGAGCCATACATCTGTTTTCCTTTTCCAGTTTACCATCTGTGGAACCCTATGTAAGTTACTTACCCTCTCTGTGCTGTAGTTTCTTCCTTATAAAATTCAGACAATAACAGTATGACCTTTCACAGGCTGTGTGAGGATACTGTGAGAGAGCATAGATGTGCCTAAAATAGTGACTAGCTCAGTGTAAACAATAAATGTTAGCTAAGTGTAGAAAATGCTTTGTAAACTATAAAAGTATTGGTAATTAATTAGAGAAGAAGAGATTCATCTATGAAGACCTGCATTTAAGGGATGGGAGGAAGAGAAGTGATTTTTTTGTTACTGTTTTGTTTTTTTGTTACTGTTGTTTTTGAGGGAGGGCCTCAATAAGTAGTTCAGGCTAACCTCAAACTCCCAGTGATCCTTCTGCCTCAGCCTCCCTGGTGCTGGGATTACAGGTGTGTACCTCCATGCCCAGCTAAGAGAAGAGAATTTTTTTTTTTGGTACCGGGGATCAAACTCGGTACCTTTCGCTTGCAAGGCAGGCGGTGGAACCACTGAGCTAAATCCCCGGCCCGAGAAGAGAATTTTTTAACAAGAGGAAAGGTGGAATCAGAATGTTGGGGTGACCAGGAAATTATCATGTCAAGGAAGTTTTAGTGGAAAGGATGTGATCATTGTTGATGCGATGATTTATAAAGGATTTCTCATCTATTTTAATTGTCATTAGTCACCCCTTTTTCTTTTTTTTAAATTAAATTCATTGGTACATTTGGGTATCCAATATCATGATATTCATCATTGGAAATTTGTGCCTTTACATAATCTATCTTGGTAATCACCCCTTTTTCTTGAACTCTTGGAGTCATTTGGCCCATAATTATATATTATACCTAAGAAGTAATAATTTTTAAAATACTTTATAGTTTATAAAGAGATTTAACAATTTTTTTTTTTTGAGATAGGGCCTCACTAGTCAGGCTGGCCTCAAACTCGGGGCGATGCTCCTTCCTCAGCCTCTCTAGTGGTGGGATTCTGGGCATGTGCCATCATACCTGGCAATCTTACCCAATTTTTACAACCTCCCTGTGAGATAGTTGTTGTCCCTGTTCAGTAAATGAAGAAATTGTGGCTCTAGATATAACTTGTTTAAGCAACAGAGTTTGAGGTGCAGTCTGTTTTCTAATACCCAATCTCCTTTGCTAGTCTTATCTGCCTAATTAGATCGTAAATTTCTTGAGGCCTAAATCTATCCAGTTACTTCTTTTTGTCCATCACCTGGACAGAAAATACAAATATTCCAACCAGACTGAGTGAAGACTGACAGCAGTCAAAGCTAACTTGCTTTCTCCCTTCTCCCCTCTAGCGCCCTCACAAAGCCAATGCTGAGGAGATGACCAAGTACCACAGTGATGACTACATTAAATTCTTGCGCTCCATCCGTCCAGATAACATGTCTGAGTACAGCAAGCAGATGCAGAGATGTAAGTCTGTTCTGTTTCCTGCCTACTTCCAATCCCCCTGCTGGATCTCCCTGTCCATCGGAGAGGCCCATGCTGCCTTCCTTGTTCTTATTCAGCTGACATCTGATTTCCTTTTCCTCCTAAGGGTGCCAAAATGCTTCTGTTTCTCACATCTGATTTTCCTTGTTTCCTGATTGTAAATAATAACCGTTGGGCTTTTTCCAGTTAGGTTTACAGCACTGTCCAGAGAATACTGTCATTGTAATGGGAAAAGCACTGACCTTAGAAATGGACAATAGATACAGGACCCAGTTCTAAATCTTAAGTGACTAGGCAAGTCACTTTCCTCAATTTTTGTTTTGTAACATGGGCCAGGTGTGATCTCTTTCTCTCTCTTTTTTTTTTGGTACTGGGGATGGAATTCGGATCTTTGCGCTTACAAGGCAGGTGGCAGAACCACTGAACTAAATCTCTGGCCCCCTTTTTTTTTGTATTGGAGATCAAACTGAGGACCTTGTGCTTGCCAGGCAGGCGCAGTACCACTGAGCTGCATCCCGGCCCTGTGATCTCTTATTTCCATCCAAACTGTAACTGCTTTGACTGTGTATTAATTCAGGATTTAAAGGTCACTCGTGATTGACTCCTTATGATAAAATCTTGAAGATGAGGTGATTCTACCCCTGTTCCTGGGGCCTGAAACTCTAGAACGGGTCACAGCTCACAAACCACACCTAGTTTATAGGAACTGGGATTACTCTTAGCTATGCCCCCCTCAAAAAAAATTGTTCAAATTTGGGACTAAACTATCACACCTAGCTTTTCCCTTGTGTTGTTTTGGAAATTATCTCTTAGCACCTAAAGCCTCATACAATAAAACAATGTAATAATATTGTCCAGAAGCAGCCTTGGTTGGTTTATGACAGTTTACATTGTAGTATTAGGAAATCTGTGGCACTTGTTTATTGCTACTAATGACGATATAGTCTTAGTCCCATGAAAGTTATGTATTATTACCGTAAGTAAACAGTGGTAGTGATGACAGCGCTATGGAGATCTTCCTTCCTTCTACTGCCCCCTCTGGGTAAGGTGTATTTGGTCTGAATTCTTAGGGTCTCACTGTCTTCCAAGAGAAGTGAAACAAATTCATTCCTTTGCTGCAGATGACTTTCAGGGTTTCCATAACTCATTTAGGCCAAGGGTTAGGCCAGTGATGGTGAACCTTTTTTTTTTTTGGTGCCGGGGATCGAACTTGGGTCCTTGCGCTTGCGCAGCAGGCGGTGAAACCACTGAGCTAAATCCCAGGCCCAATGGTGAACCTTTCAAAGCTTTCAATGATAATAAACAGCCTACTGCAGCACACCCTCAGTTGTCACCACTGGTTTGGGCTCAATTCTCAGAAGAACAGGCTGTTGTTAAAGAAGCACTTTGTATTGAAGCAAGAAAGCTTGGTTTTCTTAGCTTGAATGCTCAGTTCTGTACTTAGCTATGTGTTCTTGAGTAAGTCTCCTAGTCTTTCTGAGTGTTCTTTTTTCTCTTTAGAAGGAAGATAGTAGCTGGGCATGGTGGTGCATGCCTGTAATCCCAGCACTCAGGAGGCTGAGGCAGGAGAATTGCCAGGAGTTAGAGGCCATTTTGGGCTACATAGTGAGTTCAAGGCCAGGCTGAATTACAGAGCAAAAAACAAAACAGGGCCAGGGATTTAGCTCAATGGCAGCACACCTCCCTTGAAAGCACAAGATCCTGAGTTCGATCTCCGGTACTAATAAAACAAACAAAACAAAAAAGGAAGATAATAAGTGCCTATTTCATAGTTGAGAATGAGGGAAAAGTGATCTAATGTATCCAGGGTGCCTAGTCTCAATAAATAGCCTTTGCTACTATGGCTTATTATTTTTGTTATTTGTAAATCTGTCAAGGCAAACAAAATACTAGACCCTCAGGAATTTCCAGTTTCTACTCTAGAGCTCGGATTTTTCTGAAACCAGCATTTTAAAGTGGTATGTGAAAAAATAAGGTCTGAGATTTTTCTCATTGGAAGTAGTGGTAGGAAGGATGAGGCTGTCTGAGAACTCAAGGTCCCTTTACTGACTTGATTCATAGTAGATGGCACTTGGTGCAGTGCTTTATAACTTGGGGTGTTTACTGAGACAGGAACAGAAATATAAGAGCTCTTTTGTGATCTCGTATTTAATATTTACTAACTCCTAATCTAAGAGGTTATACCTTGGAAAAGACCAAATAAGTCAGGTTTCTTTGCTTTTGGCTGGAACATAAACTCTTTGTAGTCACTTTGAGACTTTGAAAGCCCTGATCAGAAGTTCTGATCTAATATTTAATTCATGAAAATGGGGACCTTAGTGAATGTGATTTGGGGAGCAGATCATCTGTCAGAACATGGGGCTCATGGGGAAAACATGATAGAAGGGATTTAAGGTATTAAGGTAATAAACAACTGAATGGCATTCTTATCCATGCTGTAGCCATAAACCGAGACACAGGGAAGTGAAATGATAACAAGGAGGTAGTGGAATGGAGAATGGAACACTACTCCTAATTCTGGAGCACAGCCAGCCTTCTCTATCTCTGGGTTCCACATCTGCGGATTTATAGTCGACCATTGATTTTTTTTTTAAAAAAAAAAGCATCTGTACTGATCACATACAAATTTCTTATAATTTCCTAAAGAGTAATCAAAGTGAATAGGAGCCAGGCTCTGTGAAGCACGCCTGTAATCCAAGCTTGTCAGACAGCTGAGGTAGAAGGATTGCTTGAGCCCTGGAGATCAAGGACATCTTTGGCAACATAGTAAGACTCTCATCACACACACAAAAAGATAGATATTTTAAAAATATATATTGGTCCTGGAACCAATCCCCCATGGATACTGAAGCCTAACTTACAGTACTTTTATTTATTTTTTAAAAATTTTTGAAACAGGGTCTTACTTTGTGTGTGGCTTTTTTTTTTTTTTTTTTTTTTTTTTTTTTTTTTCTTTTGGTACGGGGGATAGAACTGGGACCTTGCGCTTGCGAGGCAGGCGCCGGAACCACTGAGCTAAATCCCTGGCCCCAGGGTCTTACTTTGTAGTCCAAGCTGGCCTTGAACTCACATCGATCCTCCTGCCTCAGCCTCCCAAATTGTTGGAATTACAGGTGTTTGCCATCATGCCTGGCATGGATGTCTGTGCTTTTTTTTTTTGGTACCAGGAATCAAACTCAGGATCTCGTGCTTGCCAGGCAGGTGCTGTGCCGCTGAGCTACATCCTTGGCCTGATGTCTGTATTTTTTTTTTGGTACCGGGGATTGAACTCGGGCCCTTGTGCTTCCGCAGAAGGTGGCAAAACCACTGAGCTAAATCCCTGGCCCTGATGTCTGTACTTTTATTTTTTATTTTTTTTATTTTTGGGGGGGTTACCGGGGATCGAACTCAGGGCCTTGCACTTGCGCAGCAGGCGGCAAAACCACTGAGCTAAATCCCCAGCCCTATAAGCCCCATCATTTGTTTTGTTTTGTTTTTTGGTACCGGGGATCAAACTCGGGACCTTGTGTTTTCAAGGCAGGCACCAGAACCACTGAGCTAAATTCCCGGCCCCTGATGTCTGTACTTTTAAATAAGGCATGAAATGCACTGCCATTATGCTACAAAGTCCTAAGTACTTTTAAATGTGGTACATATAAAATATTTCAGACACACTCAAAAACTTTAAAAAATAATGAACATCCTCGTACCCACTACTCAACCTAAGAAAGGAAACATAATATAAGGGCTCAGGATTTAGCTCAGGAGCACCGTGCCTGCCTTATAAGCACAAGGTCCTGAGTTCAATCCCCAGTACCAAAAAAACCCCAAAAACATAATACAGTTGAAGTTCCTGGGTACCATTCCTTGATCACATACCCTTTTTCTTTTCCTTTTTTTTCTTTTCTTTTCTTCTGGCACCGGGAATTGAACTGAGGACCTTGAGCTTGAAAGGTAGGCGCAGTGCCACTGAGCTAAATCCCCAGCCCCCTTTTTCTTCCTCTTCCAGTGCCCCCAGCTCCATGACCACCACTGCCATGAACAGACTCTGTCCTGAAGTCAGTGTTTAATACTATGCTTCTCTTTCTACAATATGCTTATTCTGCATCCTCTACCTACTTCTACTCCCCCCATCTCACCCAGTGTTGTTCCCCTTAAGTGTCAAGACAGGCTGAGAATGAGAAAAGTATAGTGGGGAGAGGGGAAAACCACAGCAAAGTCCTCCTGGCCTCAGATTAGCTCAAGTGAGTGTCTGCCCTCCCGTTTCCCTGCTTTTCTGTCTAGTGCCACAGTTCCTTGAGCTGGGAGTAGGTGGCCTGGCTGTTGAGCCACACGTTGGCCTGGTACCTGAAGAGAAATATTTTTCATGTCTAAAACACCAGTCCTTCCCATGGGTCCTTCCCATCCCAAATGGGAATACAAACAAATTTTGGAAACCCAGGGAAGTGGAACCCACTGCAGGAGGAAACAGCCCCGAAGGAGGATCAAATACCAGTGGATAAATAGCTTGGCCCCAGGGTCCAAAGTTCTTACTGACACAGCCTCTCAGTATTTGCCTAGGAAGTGAGGAAGAGCCACCCATGGCTGCTCCCTTATGCAGCCACTCTCCCTCAGAGTAACATTCAAGTTAGGGCAGTGCCAGTGTTGGTAACACGTTTATTGCAAATCTGAAGCTTCATCTGTGTCTTGAGATGTTGGCTCCTTCCACCCTCCCCGTTCCAGGGCTCTTCTTCCTTGCTCTACTATGGGATCCCTTAGTGATAAGAGCAGGTGCAATAAAAAGGCCGAAGCATCCAGGCATAGTGGTGCACATCTTTAATCCCAGCATGAAGGAGGCTGAGGCTGTAAATTTGAGTCCAATCTGGGCTCCATAGTGAGTTCAAGGCCAGCCTGGACTACATAGCAAGAGCCTGTCTCAAACAAACAAACAAAAAACAACCAAGGGCTGAGGCAAGAGAATAAACATCTAACCCCACTCCTGCCTCTGACTTCCTGTGTATCATTGATGTCTCAGCAGTTTCCTTTTCTGTGAGAGGAGGCTTGGAGCTGTAGGGTTGCTTCTTTCTCTGTGACACCCTCCAGGTGTGCTTTCCTTCCTGTCTTTTTCATTTCATTTGCATTGGTGTTTGCATGTGTTTCTACATTATGTACTGAATTGTACTTTTACCCTATAGGCCTGACATAATTTTACTCCAGTTGTCACTTGTGAGTGTAGTAAAAAGCACACTGGACTGTGGGAGTCCAGACACCTGGACTCTCAAGTCCGCCACTGCCTGATTATGTAGCCTGGGCAAGTAACCCAACTTCTCTGGATCTGTTCGTTCCTCTGTACAGTGGGGTTGACACCTGTCTTACCTCGCTCATAGGGTTGTGAGGCTCAGATGAGAGTGTGTGTGTACATCATAGTACTTGCAGGAAGACCAGGGTATATTCCCACAGGTGTCTAGGACGGATAGACCAAGGCTTGTGGCTTGAATACTGCCTCTGCCACTTACTAGCAATTCACCTCCCTGTCCTATTTCTCCATTTGTAAGACGGGACCAAATCCTACCTTAGATTGTGTGACAGGATGGGGAGGAAAGGGGAGGGGAAAGGGATGTAAAAAGAATTAAGATATATTATATACACATACCAACTCCCCATGGTAAATGTAATCATTATGTTCTGCAAACATATACTGATAAAAATAAAAATTCAAAAAAGAATATTGTGTGGAGAGAAATGCATCTGATATTTAAAGCATTTGGCAGTGTCTGGCATGTTATAGGCACTCGGTGAATGATAGTTGTATAAATCTGTTCTCTTCCTTGTGGGTCAGCTGGAATGAGGTTCAAGAACACAATCAGGGGCCAGGGACATAGCTCAGTGGTCCTGCCGCCTGCCTCGCAAGTGCAAGGACCTGAGTTCAATCCCTGGTACCAAAAAAAAAAAAAAAAGAACACACTCAGGGTGGAAGAAGATAAATTCTTCTCCCTCAAGAAACAAACCAGCATTTTCCAAGTTGTTAAATGCTTCCTCATGTAAGATTTCTGATGTCTGGTGCATTGTTACATACCTGTAATCCCAGTTATTTGAGAGGTAAGGCAGGAGGATTACCTGAGCCCAGGAGTTCAAGGCTAGACTGTGCAACACAGCATAGATTGACCCCATCTCACAAAAAGGAAAAAAAATCTGGGGATGCTGGCACATGCCTGTAGTCCCAGCACTCGGGAGCCTGAGGCAGGGGGATTGCCGCGAGTTTGAGGCCAGCCTGGGCTCTATAATGAGTTCAAGGCCAGCCTGGACTGCATAACGAGACCCTGTTTCAACCTCCCCCTCCAAAAAAAGCCAGCATGATGACACATACCAGTAATCCCAACACTTTGGGAAGCTGAGACAGGAGGATCACAAGTTAATTCCCAGCCTAGGCAACTTAGCTACTTAGCAAGGCCCTGTCTCAAACTAAAAAATATTAAAAAATTAAAAAGGCTGAACATGTAGCTCAGTGTGAGAGTCCTGGGTTCAATCCCCAGTACTGCAAAAACAAAAAAACCCAAAGCTTTCTGTTAATTTTCTCAATAATTGAGTGAGACACAAACCACTAGATAATGGGCTAAACCTCAAGAAGTTAAACAGCCTGACCAAGTCACACAGCCAGTAAATTCCGTGTTTTCCCCATCACCCCATAAATATTTAAACAAAGCCTGAAAGAAGTTGTGGAAACTAACCTTTTGCTTGTTTCTTTCAAGTCAACGTTGGTGAGGACTGTCCAGTATTTGATGGCCTGTTTGAGTTCTGTCAGTTGTCTGCTGGTGGCTCTGTGGGTAAGGAATATACATCCCTCCCCAGGGGCTCTGCTGGGCTCTTGTGATGCAGTCTGCCTTTTAGAACACAGACCTTACAGTGCTGAGCTGGGACCATGGAGAATGATCCTGTGGGCTTTTACTTTAAATCTCTACAGTGCCCTTAGTTCAGTCCCAACCCATGTTTGGTCTGCAACGTGGTACTGACAGGTATTCTTGACTGACCTTTCCTACCAAGAGGTCTCATATATAGGAATTCTCTGTAGGCCTCACAGGATTGTTGAGACACTGTATGTGAAAGCTGTCTATAAACTGCAATGAGCTATAAAAACTGGAAGTGTCATCTGTATCTTCTGAAAGAGTATGGTAATTACCTTTAGCAGTCATAAATATTTCCCGTGTGCCTCCCACTTCCCACTGTAACTTCTGGGTTACCTTTAGGGTTATTCTACCCTGTCTGAAATACAGTCCTGCATTGCTCAACAGTAGGGAACATCTGGAGAAATTTGTCCTTAGGTTATTTCATTGTATAAAATCAGAGCGTACATAGACAAACCTAGGTGGTACTACATACATAGGCCATATGGTGTATACATATGGCATAGCCTATTGCTCCTAGAGCCATGATGAACAAAGCAATATGTGGATAAATCAAGCAGTGGAACTGACCATGGTGGCACCTGCTGTGATACCTACCAGCATACTGGGAGGCTGAGGCAGGAGAATCACAAGTTTGATCCCAGCCTGGGCAATTTAGCAACTTAGTGAGGCCCTGTCTCAAAGTGGAAAATTAAAAAAGAGTGCCACCGCCTGCCTAACAAGCGCAAGGTCCTGAGTTCGATCCCTAGCATCAGAAAAAAAAAAAAAGAGCTAGGGATATAGCTCAGTGCGAAGAGACAGGCAAGGTTCAATCTCCAGTGCTGGGGCGGGGGGGGGAACACCAGAGAAGCAGTGAAATCAAGAGATGCAATAAACATTGGATGTATGAAGCTGCTGCTAGTATGCCACAGTACACTGTTTTACAGTGAACTTTTCTATTATAAGTAGGAGTATTCTCTAAGATAGCAATAATAAGTACAGTACAGTTAATAATCAACTAGTAACATAGCCATTTATTATGTCTGTATGTAATTGTGTTATACTTTCATAGTGGGTGTGTTTACACCAGCATTACCACAGACATGTGAGTAATGATTTGTACCACATTAGGATACCTACAACTAAAAGAAGTAAGATGCTGCGTGTATGTACCAACTCCCCACAATGAATATATTCATTATATATCACAAACATGTACTAGTAAAGAAAAGGAAAAAATATCTATAGCTCCATTAGGTAATAGGAATTCTTTAGCTCCATTATAGTCCTATGTGAGCACTGTTCTATATTCAGTCTGTCATTGACCGAAATGTTCTGTGGTGCATGTGGTGCATGACTGTATTTTCTCATGATCATTGTATCTAACCTTCTCTCTCCCAGTATAACCTCAGAAAACAAAAACTTGCACAGAAATAAAGCAACATCACCTACATTCACACCATCTGCTTCCATTTTGGAGTTTGTATGTCCATCCTTTTATATTTATATGTCTGAATGTATACAACATCTGTATTTTATAAAATGTATTACATTATATTACA